TAACCTAGTACTAACATTGACACTACTGTAGGTTAAATTAGGATTTACATGTTCAATCAACTCGTCGTGTCTGATGCTTTGTAGCCGCTTACACTCATCTGTCAACGTTCTGAGTGTGACGTTGGGGTCTTGATCCAGTCGAGCCAAAAGTCTAGTCCTGATCTCAGCATCTTGTGGTGACTCAAAAGCTTTGATGAATATTAGGCATTTAAATTGGTCTTCTGTCAACGAGCGTAACTTGAACCGTTCAAATTCTTTATTGACGATGTCTGCTAAAACACCATATTCATCGGCTTCGCGTTTCACCAAATTTAGACACTGATGTCGAATACTAACCAATGAGGAGGATTCACCGAATATCTCTGACAATTGAATTATCGTCTCCTCGAAACTGAGCTCTCGAGGTAACTTAGGCAATATATGGTCAGCATAGCGCGCATGTTCACTAATTCCTAACTTACGTACCAACAGTCGAGTCTTCCACGCGTCGTCTTGGTTACAGAATTCTATTCTAAATGTATCTTCGCAACGTTTGAACCACGTGAGAAAAGTATTTCCGCTTTCGGGATCATAGATGAATTCTGGTATGCTGCTAGAAACTGCATCACAAGACGTACTTGAAATGGCATGTGAACTCGAGCAGTGGAAGTTGGGCTGTTGAGTCAGAGTCTCTAACAACCGCATTTGTGCATCTAATTGTTGTTGCTGTTGTTGTAGTATTCGGTTAAGCTGGTTGTCTGATATGGACATATTGAATTTATTTTCCTTTTTCCCCGTCGCCACTGTTATATTTTCGCTCTTACGGTTATAACCCAGCTATTCCTATCGCTTAGTATTCACGGTCACAGATTCACTCGACAAGGCCCCAAATCAGAACACGATTGAGCAGAAAGGAGATTATATTCCAAATAACAAGGTTAGGTGAAGCAAGAAGCAAGAAGCAAAATAGGAAAACCGTTAGTGTATCTATTGCTTTTTACATAAGAAGAATCTAGAGTCTTCTCCATGTATCGACTAGCGCTGATTGGATAAGAATCAGCCAATCAGCGTGCACCAAAGCAATCATGCATTGAGCATGCTTAAATCCAATCTATGTCCCGCTAACACATGTAAATTAGTAAAATACACAATGTCCAATCATTGGGTCATATTTAACTAAATTCTATCCGAAATCAATTCGGTCAAGGCAACCATATACTAGTATTTCTATTATTGGATTTTTATTTTAACACATAGATATTGGTAAAAGGAGGCACCAAATACATATGCTCCACACAAATCTCAATTGATACGTGTGACTGTGATACTGCCCGGGTGCCCAAACCGAAGCAGGTGGTTTTCTTAGGGGGCCATACCCCGAGCCTCCGATCTGAACGTCTGATCCGCAAGGTGGTGGAGCAGTCCCATGGTAGCCAGTTAACGATTGGTTCATACGCCATTTGTTCCCTCAGGATACTGGAGCCCATGTGCACCATTGGTTTGGGATCCGGTTGAAGCGCCGGACATTCGCTTTTCGTCCTCTCATTTTCGTAGACAACACCCCCGCCACGAGAAGGCAGTGAGTAGGACTTCTCTGGCAGAAGCTATATATGCGTGGCCATGTGAGAGCATTTCGAGAGGGAGGGCGGGTCCACCCTACTCTCGGACATACCAGGGCATTTGGGGGAATTATTGAATAGGCAGGCTAGTTATTTGACCACACAAATATTGTTATAAAGGGCACCGAATACATATGCGCCACAAGTCACTTGGGTTTTGTACGAGCTGTGATACTGCCCGGGTGCCCAAACCGGGATTGTACATGGTTATTGGGCTTAAGAAATTAGTTTGAAGTCTGAAAGTTATGGGGTTCGACCCCTGTGTAAGGACGTAAATTTCTGCTTCTGAGAAGTCCAATATTAGGATGAAATATTTGTCTAGCGCCCTCTAGTTTCCATCGGGTGTCTAACCAAACTCAATCCGTGATATGAAACTTTGTATTTAATTTAAGCTAAAATCAAACAGGTCGGACAGGGCAATGATAGGTATTTAAATTTTTTAAAAATCGACTAATTTGTGCAGTTATGTGGTGTATACTACTTATTTCAACAGTATGCAACGCCAGTCAGAAGAGGAATGCTTGGCAGCAGGAGATTGAGAAGATTGAATTGAAGAGAACAGGAATGTAAACGCAGATTAATTGTAATAAAAAACAGGAAAGAAGGAACGATGGAGATGTGAGATGTTAGATGAAGTATTGGACGTATGGTTTTCATATTTTACGAAGACATTATGTAACTTTGCATTAAACAGTAAATTAATTTTCCCCATCTGAGCGTTCGTTCACTACAGTTATACTACATGAACGAACCTGAACGATGTTATAAATGATCTTGAACTTTGAAAGTCAATTTTCAACCAACTAAAGTGATAATCCGAAGTCAAGAGTAGTTCATCATGAATATTCTTACGTTAAGTTTATCTATTTATCAATCATTTATAATAGAGCAATAAGGTTGACAAGTTCTATTTATCTAAGTATGAATATCTTTGTTTCTATATTGTTTAATATCCATAAAAATAAATAATTTTATCATCTCTTACAGAACTTTTCATTTAAAAAACACTAAACAGTTCTATAACATTTAGTTATGAGAAAACGATCTAGTGAAATCATGCATATAAATCGTGATCTGCAATTTAAAATTCCTACCATAACAACATAGGGTATTTTCAATGAGTTATTAATATATTGATACAATTCAAATTAACATAATGAACAATCTGTGTATTTAAACAAAGTTCAGATCATGTATATAAAGAATAAATGTTGAAAATATAAATCCGATCAGGTCAAAATCAAGTTCATCATAAACACACATATGATATATTCATGAATAGATTCACTAAAGTCTACGCAAATTAACTGTTTAAATTCTAGGTGAAATATTCAATTAAAATACTTATTTTCGGATGAAAAGTCATACATAATATTGTAAGTTTAATAATATCATTTAGTGTATTGTATGAGCATATGCTTAAATAAACAATATTGTATTGGTAAATGAGTTAATAAAATAATAGAATAATAATAACCAAGTTGATGGAATGATCGTTTAATACGTAACAGTATACATATATATGGATATTAGTGATTCTTTTAAATGATTTTCTTGCATTCTTTGAACCATTTTTAAATTAGTCAACTTTGAATTTTTTGTTACAGTTTATGATTTTATTCAATAAAACTTCTCAATTATAAAGAATGTTATTATTATGAATATGGGGTTGTGAAGATTGTTGAATTTCATTGGAAAGATGAGAATATAGAAGCACTGAAACGCCATTTCATCTTAGTACGGGACTTTTCAACAATGCACATCAACGAATCCGCAACCGACAATCCAATGAACGAGCTCATGTCACGCACCAACGCTTAACCTCTAGACCACTGATCCATCATTCCATGGTGTACAACCCCAACTTTAACCAATACACGATATTGTGAGACCATATTCCATTTTCTTCAGTGGGTACCTTTCTCACACTTAACACTGCAGATCTCCACTGGTCACGATTTCGCATTAGAACTCTGGGATTTTCCTCTCGAAGTTAGTCACTAGTGAGGACATAATAATGGTTATATGGAGTTGCACAGATTGTAAAAGTCAGACATTAACTCTGTTGGATGCCAGCTCAATGGTCTAGAGGTCAGGCGTTCGTGCGCAAGACCCTGGGCTCGTTTCCCGGTTGCGAGATCGTGGATTCACAAGGATGAAGAGTCCCATACTAGAACGAGACGGCTGTTTATTACTTTCAAGTTTTTCCTGGTGATCTAATTGACATAAGTTCATTATTTCAATGGAAAGTAATTGACTGGCCAGTTGGAAATTTGTATATTTAAAAGAGTAGTAGTAGTAGTAGTAGTAGTATTGATAGCAGTTTTCATCGCCAACCGATAAATTACCATAAACAGAGAACCACTATAAATCACATCGTACTCGCGGTGTCGTGGTATGAAAGAAAGCTGCAAAGGGCTAGCTTCTGTTGGTCCTTCACGACTCCCTGGTTGGGGTCCGAGAGACGGTGTAACGCAGTGGCTAGAGACGTTATCAGATATGGCTAAGAATAGAAGCCAGTGGCGATCGTGCTGTAACCTCTTACTTTCTTCATAAAAAGTGGTTGTATCTTCCTTAACTGAAAGATCTCTTCTGATTGTACCTTTCCGTTTCCCCCACCATTGTTCTCTCACTCTCCCTTTTTTTTATAATTCCCCACGTTCATTACTTTTTTTTCTCTTTTCTCCTTCTCTTCAAATTATCATTGTTTTGTGTGGCGCATATATATTTGGTGCCCCCTTGTACCAATATTTATGTGTTCAAATAAATAAATAAACATCGTACTCGCTATTTGACAACAGTTTTAGTTTGGAAACACAACTGAATGCAAGGATGAAATCAAAGTACATAGGACTACTTAAATGAGCATACAATCTTTCAATCATTAAAGGTAGTAAACACGACGACATTAGATGATCATCAATCTGCTATGTAAATGATGCGTAGTTCTGGGTTGATGAGTCACAAATTGAGACGGAACAGATATTCACTGTTCTCTGTGTTTCTTTCAATAGTTCTCCAGAAAATGTATCAGTCAGTTGATGACGAAAATTATTCTGAAACACTTAAATAAGGACAATTTTGTAGTCTTGCAGTAACCTGCACATGTTCAAATATTTTGAAAGTGACTAGTGGAAAAAAAGAGATGATTGGAAACTGTGTAGATTGAATAAAAACAGAGGTTTATACCAGTAGCACTGAATCCGTGTATTTATATTTTGAACTTATTAGAACTTATCCATGGCTGAGTGATAACACAGAAATGTTGAATCGATAATGTTCGGCGTCAGTACTAAAAACTAGACATTAACATTATCAGTATATCAAATATTAACGAGAAAGCGATATTAGTGTTGTAGTTTCTTTTTTTGTTATAACAATCGGTGAAAATTAATCACTCACTTGAAAGACGGTTACTTCTTCCAAGTCAACTGTATACATGATTTCTTGTAATTTTACACGAATCAATGCCTCCATTTTAGCACGTTGTTTTCTGTCAAAACATATAAGAGTAAATCAAAGGTAATTAATTACGTGTAACTAAGTTGCGATCAATACAGTAGCGTCTAACCTTGCGATAACGTATACTAATTTTAGCTACTGCAGTGTGGCATATGGTCAAATCCATTACTCAAATATGCTTTCGTTTATTTGACTCCAAGCCATTTGTTTTTTGTAGGAGTTGGTGTGATACTATTCGACTGCTCAAACCATAGTGACATGGAATGGGGATCCAACCTGTAATCGATTGATTTGAAAATCGGATGCTTTAACCGATGAGTCACAGCGACGTCATGTTCTTAATCTTGAAAACAGCATATATAAAGAAAATTAATCGATCGAAACAGAATAGTAACGTCGGTAGACGGGGTGACAAAAATAATTATGAAGTAATAAGACGTTTAAGATTTGAGAGAAAACGAAGAATGACCGAGACTAATGCATATCACCTAGAATTATCAAACGCTTGGATTTTCCAGTGTTAACACAATTCATCAATCAGAAAGCCTACAGATGGCGAAAATCAGACTTCATAGTCATACTATACACTGACTTTGCCAACCATGATTTTTGATAAAACTTATTCCCTTTTCGATATACCTAGCGCTCCGTTTAAGTCATATCAGAGATAGATAGTGTAACTTCACATATTTAATCACCAATAATCGATTCAGTGAGTTAATTTGTGGAGCAAACACCTATCGTCTGTTCAAAGTACAAAAATACTTAATAATATACTCGAAAAGCATCAAGTTAGATTTTAAGTACATAAGGTTTCGGTGACATATTATCAAGTGTATTTAAAATCATTGTTAAAAAATCAAACATACTAGTAAAAGTCAATTATGTAATGGTACACATGTGATTGATCATATTAAAAATCTCAAAAAATGGACCGCCTGGAATCTACATTCAATTAGCAAACAAACAATTTAACATGAGCAGATTCTAGGCATAACTTTAAATAAATACTCATCAGTATATAAACACATAGGTATTAAATAGATCCAGTGTATTCACACGATATAAACACCATATGACAAATATTTTTGGAACACTAAAAATGTTTATTATAACGAATAGTAGGGCACTATCAACTTAACTCTGACGAAATATCAACAGGGGTCAGGCAAAAAAATAATAAACGTTGTTAAGATAGTGTAAACTGATTAATCTCTGTCATAGTAACCAGTGTTATTTTGTGAACTTATTTATTTCAAGTGATGATTGAATACTATCTATCAAAATTAAAAGAGTATGTGCTTTACTAACGAATGCTGCTTAGCATGAAGTATCATTGGGTTACACGGTTTCGGTTGCCAATTTCTTGCTTTAAATCATTTAAGGAAGAATTTGATAATACATATATTTTTTCATATTGTTAACCAATGATTAAAAAATATTTTGATAATCAACTTTATATCGATTCTAAATGTGTTGAATAGGGTAGATGGGGGGAAAGTTCTCGAACGGTCAAAAGACACTGAATCAATTGATAATCAGTATTGATTGAGAATTTACATTTCATAGGAAATATTGGGAGAACCTGATTCAGAAGCTGGAAAGAGCTGAAAATATCCAGTCCAATCGGTGTTCAATAGAATTACACATAGGGTGGTAGAAAACAAATTATGTCGCATTCTAATTAGATAACTATTGATTTTGTTACTAATTTAAGCATATTCCCAAAAGTTTCTGGAACATCAAGGTCAAACAAACATGCCTTGAAATATTCTTGAATCTGTACTGAAACTAACAAAGAAAGAAAAGATTGTTTTCAAATTACTCGCCTTTTGTTTTCTTGCTCAGGATCAAAGTGTAGGAGATTTCTGGAGTAATCGAATTGACAATTCAATTAGAGTACCTTATCTCACTTAAAGCATTTGCTTTCATATCTATTGGTTAACGAGCATGCTCCGGAAAATGTTGATTATATTATATGTGTATTGTGATGGATTATAGTTACAATTATCGAATTGTGTTGAATAATAAACGTTTAAACATTGTTAATTCCTGCCGAAAACTTTTTATTAGGCAAAAAGACAAATAAATTCTGTGTTTGGTGAATGGTTAACTTACATTTGATCTTGTTTTACTCACTCTCTCCTCTCTTTAGAATTACCGTGCACAAACTCTTGTTCACATATACTACAAACAACGACAACGTAATTGCAGATTAGACACAAACATACCAACAGCTAGAGATTATTTTAACCATGGTTCTTTAAATTCTATTCATTAAACACCCGAATAAATGAGCAAACATCTTACTGTAAGGGGTTTTAAGAGGATCCATTTGTAGGTTGCATTCGTTACAGACTGATCTCGGTTGGGGTGTTATAGAAAACCAGTGAGTGCTTTGACATTAACAACATATGGGAAAATCAAGAGGGATCGAAAGTAAAATCTACACCAAGATAAATGACATTCGACAAACATTTTACTAAAGAATCTTCAATAGTATAAGTAGATGGTCGGTAAACTAGTATGCGTAATATGTTACAGGTATTAAAATTGATAGTTAATTAAAAGTATACTATTCAAATGTTTCTTTTTGCCAAAAATAAAAAACTTACCATAACGAATGTTTATGATTTTTTCATACTACATATATTTCACGATTATATCCCCTAACTGTACAACCGAACAAAGGGCATCACATTTAATGCAAACAGTTAATGCAAACTACATTTTAAGTTGTTTGGCCACAAAATCATGACCTCTAGTATTGATCGAGTAAATTATGAAGTTATTTATACGCGCATTGTAGATGATAAAAGACAGTTCATCTTGTTATAACGGTTGACAGTTACTGATGAATTACGTAGATAAAAAAATAATTTGCACAATTTAATGACTCTAGCTCATCCACGATCTAACCATGGGTTGAATCTAGGATCCTTAGACCTCTTAAAAAGAGCTTAGCCTTCTAGCTTATAAGCCATTGGGTACTAAGTCAGTAGTTTGAAATTTAGATGCTCACTGAGAAGGTTGAAGGCACTGGGTTTATTCCCTAGTAAAACCATAGGCAGTGGCTATTGAAAAGTCCCATACTATGACGAAATAACCAACCAGTCTTACATCTTACCGATTAAAATAAGTTAGTTAACAATTAGTTATACGCCTAATAGGATTTATAACTCCCAATAAGTTGTGGTCTCTTATTTTAAGTGAATAATTATATTAGTTATGAGTCAGAATAGAGAAAAATTTGTTACTATCTATACGGATTTCCTTAGTCCAAAAATGGGACGTTAGAGTATATCAGAAAAACCTCTATACAAACTATTTTCAATCACTTACTCTTCGTCAGTTGCACTATCCGATAGAGGGGACTGAGATAACGATTGAATGAATTCATCACTTTCATCCGTTTTCAACCATTCTTGTATTTGGCATGTAGATGATGCTGGCAAACTATGATAGTAACTGACCCAATCATGGGTGAAACCCCGACAGAAATAAGCATTAGCCCGAGCCACTTGGCACGCTTTATTGACAGCCTGAAACGCAGCCCATAAAGCCTGTACAGAAACAGGTTTGAATTGCTTTACTGTATCCTTAGTGATTAATTCAAACCCACTATTAATAGAAAATATGGAAAGCAAATGAAAAGAACTGAAAATTTTCGAAACTAAAGATTGATGAGCATATCTTATTCATCAAAAAGCAGCAGAATTTTTTATATTAACACGTTTGTGTACTTTCTGATTGAAATAGAAAATAGTCCTGGTTGGTATATAAGTGGATTGAAAGGAAGCTAAGGAAATAAATTAGTTCAATCTCTCAAGACTAATAAAAACTGTTAAACCTACTGACATAACATACAAACTTTATGGTTTATCAGAAGTATATAAACATGATATTGTTTTACTTGAATCTTCCCATTGATGTTTAGGACTGCAATTGATCAGTCTCTTATTGGCATATGTGCATACTGTGCGTATGCCTCGATATTGCCTTAATTGACAAGCATTATAAGCAAAGATGGATAGTGGCTAGCAGTGGAATCCAGGACGCGCGTTTCGTCCTATTTGGGACTCGTCAGCTAGATGTACCTGCATCTAAGAGTTGATGTTCACTCTGGGACTCAAACCCAGTACCGTCCGCTTCAAACGCTATCACGTTATCCACTTAGCTGGGTTCGAGTCCCAGAGTGAACATCAACTCTGAGATGCAGGTACATCCAGCTGACGAGTCCCAAATAGGACGAAACGCGCGTCCTGGATTCCATTGCTAGCCACTATCCACCTTTGCTTATATAAACATGGTTTGCTACCTCGTCTATTAATAGATATGTTAAATTCACCTGACTACGCAACTGTGAAATCGTCACAGAACTTGTGAGGCTACTTCACGTGAGGTCGGAAAGGAAAATATCAAAGGTTTCAATTTACCAACACGTTTAGAAATTTGAAAGTGAACAAGGAATTCATGATAATATTTGATGTCTTATCCCTGTTAATGAATGTGTCTTCGACGGAAACATATGACTTAACATGTAGTGAACTGGAAGATCGAGAAACAGAAATTGATAATCTCATTTCCTCTTCAAAAAAAACCTATTTCAAAATGTAAAATGAATACACAGCTTTTGTTTAATACAGAGATTTACAGGCAGTGTGATGTTTAATCCTAGAGGGTTTCTTTGTAGCAAAGTAAGAGAATGGCACTTAAAAATTTGCGACAAACGAGCTAGCATTTTGTTGTTGCTACGTGGAAAACACTCTTGTATATTTTAAAATCAAAGGCGAAGTACAGAGCATATAGGACAAGTTTAATACAAATGACCAAGCAGTTACTTTCATAACTGAAGAATACTAAAATCGCATCTCTTTTCCATATACTTTACTAATAAGAGCAAACTGGACAACAAAAAGCACTTGTTGTTAGGTAACGAAACTAGTTGAACACAAATAATTTTGTTATTGAGATCATCAACTGATCTAAGATTACCTTCGAAAATCTGGAAGCACAGGAGGGTGTTTTGTTTTAATTAGGAAAAGAGATATTTTATACGATTTGAATTACGATGCTAATTTCTCCTTAGTAAGTCGTTTCAACTCTTTCACGAATTACCTGCTAAGTACCACAAAATTCAGACGATCTAATTGAAAATAATTGTTCACTTATATGTGTTGATCTAATTTTCACAATGGGAATCTTTAATATTCTAAAATCTTCAGACAGTTGAGGGATTTATATTCAGTACGTTTGCTACGAATTAAAACTTATGGGAAATACCACGTTTTCTGAACAAGAATGATAGGTGAAGTACTACTCGTGTTCCTAGTAGCTGAAGTGTAAAACCAATTTTTTATAATAAGAAGCTTATGGGTTACTCTATGGAATTGCAGGTGAATGATGAATTGCATCTAAATTTTATTTAACCATGGACGGAGTAAAACAATCTATCCGTGTGAACAGTAGATGAAATGTGATTTGAACCTGGTTCAAGTCTGAATGTACAAACCACTAAGTTACTACTCTACAACCGAGTTGTGATAAATTGTCGATAAAAAGAATCATCTAGTAACTATCGTGCCACTTTCGATTATTCGCTGCATTAGCCATATTGTTTTTTTAATCGATTCATAGATTAATTCCTACTACTTAATAAGACATTTTTCTTCCATGACTGATGTTGAGAGGGAAAATTACGTTCAAAAACCTGACAACGAAACCCGGGTTTTAGAGTTGATGCTTGTCGAATGGTTTTAAATATATGGAAATGAGTTTTTATGTACTGAAGATGGGCGTTGTCTGCCCGTGATTACTAAAAAGCGTTAGATATATCAATGGATCAATAGTATGAAATTGGTTGGTCTAAGTTTCATATGGCAAAAATGGTTAGTTTAGATTATTAAGACTAGTAACGAGATTGTCAAATATGATTAAAAACGAACACTAATGAATTGCTTACCCATCACCACATAAATTAATTGACATGTCTTGCCAAATTTCTAGAACCAAACCCACAGTGGCTTGTCCTTCAGTTATATCTACTCCTAAGACGAAAGATTCTTCAGTTTCCAGCCTCCCGTATGTAGATATAACACAACAATATCTGTGATGATGAGGCTTTGGATTGGCACTCTGAATCTTGACAATCTTTAAAAATTATAAGAATTCGATAAGTAACAACCAGCTGAATGTAGTCTCCAAATCGAAGGATAGAGATAATTTTTTTCAGATGATCCTGCATTTCATCTTCGGAAATAGAAAAAGGAGGGAAAAATACCATTTGATTTAATGCGACTAGACTTCCTTCTTGAGTGAATGTTTAGGCCTACAGCTGTCCCTTTGCACATCATGAAATCTTCACTTTGGCTGCGAAATATATAACAATAAGCATGGAGTACCTGCTTCTAGATGAACACTCATACTTGTCGCCATCAATTGAATCATCGCAATCCTTATATTATAGTTCGTAAAGCGAAAGCAACCTACAGTTTCTGGTTCTAT